AGCACCTGGTAGACCTGGAGCAACGCTGGACTCTGCATTGATGGGCCGCATGCTGCTACCCCAACGTTGTCCACCTTGTTCTTGCGGTATATCCATGTGCTGCGCCGCAGGACTTGACATCATACCATATGTTTCTCTACTCAGAACACCCATATTGTTGCGAGGGTCGGAGCCAGGTGTCTCTGCGTAGGCTGCATGATCAATCGGTGCGCGCTTCATGTGTAAGACTGGTGATTCTACTTCACCTAGTAGACCGTTTGCGTTGTGAGCGTTCGAGGACGGGGGGTTCGAGTTCGCCTCGATGGTGGAGGCAGAGCCATTGGGAGCTGAGAGATCGACCATGCGACGCTGACCAGCTGGTGTTTGGTAGCTGGGTACGCGGGACGGTCCTGGAGGGTACCGGCTTTCTTGGTGTGAAGGATGTCGTGGATTGGCCCATGGCGTACTTTCTAAGAATTGCTCTTCTGCGGCTGCCTCGTCTGCTGTTGTCGTTCTATTATAGGTACGAAACGAGGGAGGCGGTGCTGGAGCACGCGTTGCAATCTACCGCGCTGAATCAGCTGCTAGTTCTCTAGCAGTTGCGTTCAGCCACTTACCTTCATTGCTCGAAGATCCTCGTCAATCTCTGTTGGCCGCGCGGCACTGATGTCTGGTGCTGCCGGGAATCCTACGTACTTGGCGACACCCGACAGGACAGAGACCTCCAAATTGTACGCTGTTTGGTGCCTGATCTGGTCAGACCGCTTCTCAGGTAGTCGTACCATGTATTCAGTCTCGTCGCAACCAAGCTGGCGTCGTCCGCGTTGTAATTCGAATACTCGCTGGTTGCACTCCTCGAGAATCTCTTCGCGAATATGTCGCACAGTCTGGAAGTATTGACTGTGCATTTGGTGCCGCTCTGCTGCTGTGATTATCTCAAGATTCTTCTGCTTGTATTCCAGGAGCCTCGTCTCGTATGCGATCTTGTCGGCGCGTCGATCGTCTATGCACTTGATCATGGCAACATACTCGGGGTGAACGCAATTTGGCTGCTTGAGCATTTCTAGCTCTCTTTCGAGTTGCGCTATCTGCTCGTCGCATAACCTGATGGCAATTAGCAGCTGATATCAGTAATTGGTATCAAGCATGTCACTTACTTCTCTCGGAAAAGCTTGAACTTCTTCTCGATCTTTGCAAGTTCATCGATAGCCTGCTTTTTCTTGGTCACCTCCTCGTCAAGCACCGCGCTATCCTCGTCGTCATGCTCGCCCTCAGCTTCAGCCTCGTGTGCTTCAGCAGCTGCGAACGTCTCGGCATAGGCATAGCTAGGATCCTCCATCTTTCTTTTCCCCCTTCTGCCACCTTTCCTAGGTTTAGTGTGTTTCGCGACGGTGGCCATCTCGCTGACAGTCTGTGCGGCGATATTGGCTTGTCGCTCTTCGAGCTCTAGTTCTTCTCGTGCGAGGGCCGATAGGTTCTCTTCAGCGTTCTCGAGCTCTTCGTCTGCGTCCATCTGGTCCTGTCGGTCCGCTGCAGCATCCGCCAGACCATCAAGCGCCGAGCCCTTCGCGTTTACGCTTCGCTTCCGTGATGGCTCCTCTTCACGCTCATCCACAGGACTTCTCTCGGCGCTGGCACGCTTCCTTTTCATGCCGACATGCTCGAGATTTGCCGCTTCAGATGCTGCGATGAGCGAGAGAGAGTGCAGAGGGTTCTCGGTTGTGGGTGCTTCACCCATGGTTGCGTCGTCTGTAATGGCAGAGGGTGTGGGTGGGGCGGAATCATCGTGCTCGATGGTTTTGGAATGCGCAAGCTTGCTTGGAGTTCTTGTGTAGATGGGCTCGGAAAGTAATGACGTCTCTGTAGCAGTGCGCGCGAGCTTTCGAGGCGTGTTGTGCAGTCGCTCAGTCTCAGCCTCTGAATCATCTTCATCCATATCTGCTACTGCGCTCGGCCGTTGTGTGGGTTCTGACTGGTCGTCTGATGCGTCTCCGAGCTCGCTCAAGCTGCTGGAGCCGTTGTCGGCGATGTCATCGAAGCCATTAGGGGCTTGTTCGGTGGGTAGTGATTCTGTGAGCACTGTAGTCGGAGCTGCCATGGTAGACAGCATCGCGGCAGCGACTGCAGTAGGATCTTGGACAGCTGCTGTTGGTACCTGGGCTGGCGCAGGGTGGTCGGGAGGAGAGGTTGCAGAGGCGGGGTCAGGTAATTCTATCGTGGGCGTTGGAATGGTACCTGTGAGGGGCTGTTAGATCTGGTGCATGTTCGGACGACGTACGTAAGAGGCGTGGTGAGGGAGGTGAGTTCGCAACGCCGTCGTCGCCTCGGTTGTTGACGCAAAGATCGACAGTCTCTGGAGAGGCGACCAAGGGCGCAACGCTGGGCTTGAGAAAGGCGAAAGAGAGCATCGGGATTGCGACGGAGTAGGTGAGAACGTACTTTGCGTCTGCGCGACTTGCTCAGCGGTGCCGGGAGCTGTTCTCGAGGTGCTCCGTCTGGTCTGTTCGGGCGCGCTCATAGTGCGCCCACGCCCAAGACTGCCTCAACTCGTGACCAATGTCCCGGAAACGAGTTGCAAAGAATACTGTAGGCGCCTGCGATGCTCTATGGGCGTTGTGGGAGGTGGTGGGCGCTGGATCCGGTGAGTGGTCAAAAACGGTGCTGCTGGGGTCAAGGACGCGGGCGTCGAGGGTGCGTGTGGGGACGTCTGTGGCAGGAGCGACGGGGTGGCAGGTCTGGGATGTTTGTACACGTCGGGAAGCAAACGCGGGACAGCGACTCTCATGAGCGAGTCTGTAGTGAATGTGGAGGGCAGCTTGGTCGGGATGGTCTAAACTGCGCTCAGAAGCGGGTCGACTGCCCGGGAGAGGCCCTGAGAGTCTTGCGAATGACCGCACTGCCCTATCTCGTTTGGGCCTAGTGCCCAGCGCCCGTGAGTCTCCACCAAAACTTTTTGACGAGCTTGCTACTGGCAACATCTCGATTGTCGCAATGGCCAAATCAAACGACAAACGCGCTGTGAAGACAGACAAGAAGACAGACGGCACTTCATTCATCAAAGTTGACAAGAAAGCGTTTGACCCTGCGCTAGCATCGCTGTTTGCGACCAGTGTACGTCTATCGCATACACGTGCTGAAGACTGATTGCTAATTCATGTACAGGCGGGTCCTGTACAAGCGCCTCCAAAATCACGCTACCAAGCGCGCGTCCAAGAGAAAGCGACCGAGGACTCGAGTGAAGATGAAGACGAAGGCGATGCGAACGATGCGGAACTGAGCTCGGCATCTGAAAGCTTGCCCTCCGATGACGATGATGACGACGAGGATGGAGACGAAGATGAGGATATGTCGGATGCTAGCCAAGGGTCTGAGTCCAAGGACGAGGCAGCGCTTGCAAAACTGCGTGAAGCTGCACTGCATGGCGCAGTAGAAAAGCACAAAAAGCGCAAGCGAGGTGACAAGGAGGAAGTCGAAGATGCCTACATGCGAAAATTGGCACGAGAAGAAGAGAAGGAGGAGGAACAAAGACAAAAAAAGCGCAAGACAGAAGAAGACGATGAGGAGGAAGAATCTTCAGATGACAACGACGAAGGCGAGTCTTCAGGAGAAGAAGAAGAAGAAGAAGAAGAAGAAGAAGAAGAAGAAGAAGAAGAAGAAGACGACGACGATGACGATGCCGAAGATGTCAATGGTACCGACAAGGCTGAAGACCTTACAATCCCCAAGCATGAGTCGCTCATGGAGAAGACTGACCAGAGCGCTTCGGAAGTGGAGAAGGCATCGCGCACCGTCTTCCTGGGCAACGTCTCTGTTGAGTGCATAAATTCAAAGCCCGCCGAAAAGGCCCTCAAGAAGCACCTAGAGTCCTTCATCCCGGATCTTGCCGACAACAAGCCCCCGCATAAGATCGAGTCGATACGTTACCGCTCGACAGCATTCGGTACCTCGCTACCCAAACGCGCTGCCTTTGCAACCAAGGACATCATGGACGCGACTACAAAGAGCACGAATGCATACGCTGTCTACACGACCAAGATCGCCGCGAGGGAGGCTGTCAAGAGGCTAAACGGCTCCATGCTCCTCAAGCGCCACCTCCACGTCGACTCATTGGCCCATCCATACAAAGTCGACCACCGCCGCTGCGTCTTCGTTGGCAACCTTCCTTTTGTAGACGATGAATCTCAAACGCCCGTGGCCGAAGGCGAGAAGCCCAAAAAGAAGAGGCCCGCCTCTGACGTTGAAGAAGGCCTCTGGACGCACTTTGCCAAATGCGGGAAGATCGAGAGTGTGCGCGTAGTCCGCGATGCAAAGACGAGAGTCGGTAAGGGATTCGCCTACGTACAGTTCGTGGACGAAAATGGTGTGGAAGCCGCACTGCAACTTAACGAAAAAATGTTCCCACCTATGCTTCCCCGCAAACTCCGTGTTACACGTTGCAAAGCAGAGAAGAAGAACAAGGACAAGCCGAGAGGACCACCGCCATCCAAGACAGAGGGTGCATCAAAGGGCAGGCCAGGTGCTGGCTACAAGCAAAAGCTTACTGAAGAGCAGAAGTCACAACAGGGACGTGCAAGATCGATGTTGGGCAAGGTCGCCAAGGCACAGACGAAGGAGGGTTTCGTGTTTGAAGGCCACAGAGCGAGCGAGAGACAGGGTAAGAGTGGGCTCAAGTTCAAGGGCAGTGGAGGCAAGAAGAAGGGTCCTAATGGACGGAAGAGCAGAAGTGCGGGCTGGAAGAAGACTGGCGGCAAGAAACAGTGATAGTCAGCGAATTCTACCTGCAAACACGGAAGCTCTAGGATATATACAGCTGTCGTGGGGCTCAATCCATACATTACATACGCATTTCTGCAAGAGCTTGCAGTCGGCAAAAACACGTTGCGGTGAAACCTCACGATCAAGGCTCTCGGTTTTGCTGTCCTTCCACTACACATTCTTAACGCAAGCACCAAGAACATAAAACATCTCCAAGATGGGCTCACCTGAGCCGCCCACTCAGTACTCGATACTGCACGACCATCATGTTTCAACAAGACATACCAAGATCATTAGAAAGGAAAAGGCTCTTGGCCCCCGCAAGTTATCGCAGTCTTTGTCTTAAGGCTAGAAATGGGTTGTTGAAGACAACCATTACCAACCAGTCAGGTCTGATGCAGATGTAAGTTCAGTGCGAAGCAGCCACATCGTCCAAGTACTAAATTGCGGCAGTGCAAAACGCAACTCACTTCAATTTTCTTTACTCAAACTTCCAGGAAAGATACGAAACAAGATCTATGGGTACGCAGTTGAATACCACCCAGTTGGCATACACGGCTATTTCCCTATTAGAAGATAGAACATCAGACTTACTCACATCACCCGCGCCACTTGAGAGCGGGTGAACACACCGTCTTGGTTGCGATTCTAAAATCAAATCACTTCACTTCTATTCGCGAGCTCGCCCTCACCCACGGTAGGCCTTTGCCTTCACGACAAATCTGTAAAGGACATGAGCGGTATGGTTGCTTGATAGTTGAGTACTAGTGCTCTCCATGAAACGACGCATGTAGTTCAGTACGACTGTCCGTAGTCTACGTGGAAGTTCGGCTATAGGAACTGGATATGTGATAGTATGCACGCCTCGAGATGCAAAGAGCTTTGGTACCCTTCCGCTCTTGAACCACGTGTAGAATTCCAGGAGACTCATGTTGATTGAGGTGGATTGTTTAGGTGATAAATGTTTCTAAGGTCTCTACAAAAGTGGTTTCTTCTTTTAGCTAGCCGTTGATCTACTGTGATGAAACAGGATCATGTTGAACTCAGGACTGGGTGTCGGACCATTGCACATGCTGTCCTTGTCCATTTCCTCTATCTGTTGTATATTCTGGGGCATATGAGACAGCGTGTCTGACATCCTGCAACCTGAGGCGTGAGTGACTCGCAGCCCGGACGCAGGCCGTGGACGTGCACCACTTGATGCTTCTTCTTTCTTGTCTGTCTTTTCTTCACCTTGGAAGTCGTCTTCTAATAGCCCGATCGGCCCGCTTGACTAATTGCCGTCAAGGGTTACCAGTGAACAAAGCATGACACATGGACTGTGATAACACCGTCACTACCTCAAAGAGAAACTGAACACCTCTTTAGAGCAAAGTACTTATACCTACTATAATAAAGCGTGTTAAGACCTTTCTAGATATAGATAGAGAACCTAGAAGTCTACAATGCTATTAATTAATCTAGAATTTATTCTTAGAAGCTAACGTAGGCGGTAAACTAGGGCGTGTTATCTATATACCCGTTTAAGTTTTCTATTGTATACGGTGCGAGTGACATGTTTCTCTAGTCGCTTGCTCCCGTTCCGCTTCTACGGTGGATATTGCTGATGGTGCTTTTTTTTTGTAGAACTGGTAGGATTAAGGTACTGAAATTGAAAACCGTGATACCTTATTGAGCACGAGACATCATGTCCAGTGGTGTTTCATAAGCGCCGCTCAGAGCGTCTGTCTTACAGGCTGGTAAGCCGCAGTTGAAGACCATGACTGGTGCGGTGCGGTACGGTACAATGGGCGCAATGCTGAACGTCTGGGGGATCTGCGGAGGCGCGAACTCTAATCGCACATCGAATACTGTAAGAGCCGCAATGTGCAGTAAGATCAAGATGAAACGAGCACGGTGGCGCACGCGACAGGTGCTTCACCGATGTTCCCTTGTCAACTGGAGCAACGGTTTCATCCGGGATGTGCTGAACACGACCATTATCCCGATCCGAGGTGGAGAGCAACACTGACGGCTACGGGTGGCGGGTCAGCATTTGCTCAAGCCGAACAGCATTTCAACAGAAGCCCAATACAATCACCCACGCATTCATTATCGAGACAAAGGTTCAGAAGTCGACCGCAAGGAAAGTGAGATTAGTGGAAGAAAAGTGGGAAAAAAGCAGCTGATGATTCAAATGTCAACTGCCTGTAGGATTCTCACGTGCTGCACGGCATTGAGCTGATGGCCGCCCAAGGATGAACGCGTGGGTTGTGTGTGTATGTGGAGGGGGCCATGCACACCAGCGGAAGATGTAACCTGATTAGATTAACGCGATGAGCAATCGAAACTGATACGCTGCGGTACAGGGCTGGTGGCAGATACGTAGCCGAGCTGCATCGGCAGCGTTCTGGTACTTGGGTTCGCGTGTCGCGCGAATGGTGCAATAGCGGAAGTGAGGCATTTGATTGACTGCTGTGGAACCCGTATAGATGGAGGTGCAGTATCTCGAACGGAGTCGATAACAGGTGCCAAAGTGTCTGACAGTGCCAAAACTCCTGACATTATGCCGGCAAAGGTAGCATCGGGTTCAAGGCAGCGCGAAGCGAGCTTCTGGCCAAGGAATTGCTCCCCTTGCATTTCATGTGGTGGTTGCTTTCGAGATGACATCCATCTTCAGCCGCCGGACGAAAAGCACATGTTAGAGTAAATGGGCCGAAGTATCAACAAATTTGTGTGACTTGCGAGCGGCCGAACCGTTGCCTTGGGTCCGAGGAGGATGACGCAGCGTGGTGTGTGGCGGGAAATGTCAGTGGCTGGTCTTGAGGCCTACCGATCTTGAGACAAGGACAGTACGCGTCTCGGCTCGACGAGTCGAGATTCAAAGTAGAACAGGAGCTTTTCTTTTGTTTTGTGCGGCATGAGCACACTCTTTTCTCTATGCAAAGCAGGGTCAACGTGACGATCGCAAGCTTGGACGCTGAAGCGGCTCGGGTTGGGGGGTCAGACTTTGCCCACCTGCATTCGCGTTCTGTTGTGCTTACTATACAGCCAACGTGACGGCGGTGCATACTGCGTACATTCATATCAGGATGTGCAAGGAAGGGATGGAACAGTATCATTCATTATCATTCCCCGTGTTGTCACATGGCATGGAGCTCTCTAAATGATGTTGAATGCTTTCTTGAGACGTGGGCGAGACAGAAGCTGGGCCAATAGACGTAAGAGACAGCAGTGGCGGCTTCTAGTCGAGCGCGAAGCAGCGCGTCGCCTGAGGCATGCGTGGTGGCTGAAGGGCGTCGGGCTCTCCACGGAAGGGTGTGTGTTCACAACTCCGCGGTGCTCTGTCAGATGCGCAAGCACACTGTTTGCCGGTGAAGCAAGCGTCACATATTGCAACAGTGAGCAACGAGGCTGTTGTTTCTCGTCTCCTTATGTCAAGGCGTGATCCAATAGATGGATGGGTCTTGCCAGGGCAGAGCCAGCTCAGAGTTTGGCGCCCGCCCGTACCGGCGTACTATGGTACCCAACCTGCAACGGATCTGCCGTCTGGGGGCGGAGCAATTTCCAAGGACGCGCCAATCGAAAAGCTGGTACCAGCATAATGCCCTGTCTTCCAGATCATGTGTGCACTGTGATTTGCCTGAAGCTGAAATTCAATTTCGAAGTGGAAGGGGAATTACACAGAGTTGTGAAAAACATGAGCGATTTGGCGCTGGGCTGAAGCTGGAAGCACGTGTCTACTATACCCACGTCATCGGTTGAGCCTCGGGACGTCGGGGTTTTGTGCCAACCCCGCTTCACTCGTTAGCTTCCCGAGAACAACTTCAATCACCCAAGGCCAAGACGCATTCTTGTAGATGAAAGCACATGGGAACAGTGATGCGTGCTGTCTGCCTCTGTTGCACCTGGCCAACTGTCCCGCTGAGGACGAGAATCCAGTGTGGCTGTCTTGCCCACAAGTATGGGGCCACAATCCCTGCGCGCCGCTAGTGAGCTTAGCGTGTCGGCGGGTCATCGAATTATAGGCGTCGCCGACCGCTCCTTCCTGAGCTCTTTCGCGCCTTCCAATCATCTGGTCCTCCTCCCCAGAGCATTTTAGCACGATCATTCTACGCATCTTCAACGCGTCCGGGGCTCCAGCAAGCACAACTATACAACAAGACATATAACAAATACACAAAACTCTCTCTCTCTCTCTACCCTGCGCTTGCGCTCAAAGGTTCCGTCCTGCATCAGTTGGCTCGCGTCTGGTCGTCAAGTCAAGAAGATCGGCCTGTAACCTCGACTCGCAAATCTCCCCAACCACAGACCGTGGAGCAATAGATCACGGGATCGCATTTTGCTGCAGACCACAACACCCATTGGTAAGTCAACCCCATCCTCGCGCCCTGATTTGCACACGCGTGCTCGTTGCGCCTATCGTCGCGATGTTCGTTTTGCCTGTACGCCAGCGGCTCTAAATCGCATTCGCTTCCACTTCATCATGGAGACATCTTGAAGGAAGGCGCATCCATTCAGACACGGCCATTGTCGTCGCAGCGCCATACCACGTCCCTTGGACATGACGCGCTGTTGCCTCTCCGGTTTTTCTTTACGAGCAGACCGCATGCTCTGACACTACGCGTGCGCTTCACATGTTCAAGGGCTGACGTCGCATTAGTTCCGCAACACACAGCCCACCAAGCCTCCTTGTATCGCGCTCTCTGCCCGCTACTTGGACCACGCTGCTGTCACCTGCGCAACGACAATATACATTTGTCCGCTCGCTGGTCGCCCTAGGCTTCAAAGCCGAAAGGTATCTAAGCCTACTTGTCATCTCGACGGCGCAGCAACCGACAATACGCGCTGCTACTGATCAAGGTAAGTGTCCACCGTCATGCATATGCACGTTGCACCCTTGACTGCCAATGTGCCAACGCATCGCCCACCCAGCCAGCACATGCCAACTTCGACATCATTAGCTGACAGTACTCCTAACTGTGTACACAGTCCTCATCTTCATTTCTGACTGGTGAATACCCGCAACGACTATTCCCCACTACGGCGCGGCCCTCTAGAGTGCAGTTTCACCCTCGACAAAACGCTTTACCACTTGTAAACGCGCACTGCCCTCTCGGCGCCCAATCGCAATCTTCGCGCCTCCAAACTCAAGGCTCCAGCCGTGCGCTCTAGCGAAGTCGCCTCAACTAAGCGTGGCCACTGACAACACATCGAGAGCTGACCCTGCCCTGAACGCGACCCAGCCTACCTGCGCTACGCGCCTACTGTAATCCTCCCACTATCTCGTCTCTAACCACCAAACAAGCCAACGTTGGAGACATCTTCACCATGACCGACTACGCCCAATTTTCGCAATCCCATCATGGGCCAGCACCCACCCAGCAGCAGATGCAACAGTTCGGTCAACAATCCTCTCCGATCCTCCCCTCTCAGGGTTACAACCATGGCGGTGCGCCACACCCTCAACACCACCAGCAAATGGGCTTTCCGCAACAACAAGCGTACATGGCCGCTGGCATGCAGAACCCTTACATGGCATCTCAACAGGCACAGCACCAGCAGGCTGCAGCGTTAGCCACGGCTGCTGCTGCTGGTCCGGCTGGATACTATGACCAGAATGCTATTCCCGGTCAACTCGCACAGGACCCGCGCGCATCTCCACGTATGTCGGTGTCTCAGATGAAGGGCGACGGACGCGTAGCTCCTCGATCTCCAACCAATGTCTCCAATGCGATGAACAGTGCGCTTCCATCTCAAGTGATGACGCCGACTCAGATGCAACAACAACGACGTATGAGCACGCAGATCAGCAGCCCCGCAATGCAGCAACCCCAGCCTGTAATGAACCACGGCGGGCCCAGGCCTTCAGTCCCTCCAATGACCCAGCAACCCCAACACCAACAGTCACCAGAGCTCGTCGCCGGAGGGGCGCAGCCTGAGGAGGCGCCGCTCTACGTGAATGCTAAACAGTTCCATCGCATCTTGAAGAGGCGTCTCGCGAGGCAAAAGCTTGAGGATGCGCTGAGGCTGACGTCCAAGGGACGAAAGCCATACCTGCATGAGTCCAGACACAATCATGCCATGCGCCGTCCCCGTGGTCCAGGTGGTCGCTTCTTGACGGCAGAGGAGGTGGCTGCAATGGACAATGCGGCTGCAAAAGGCGAGGGTGAAGATGGCAACAAGGAGAACGCATCCATGCCTTCCAAGCCCGCCAGCTCTGGTCCAAAGCGCAAGGCATCCGCGACGCAGCTCAAGGGAACACCAACTATCAAGAAGAACAAGGCGGGTGCTGTGCAGCGTCACAGCACAAGTGAAGAGGACGAAGAAGAGGACGACGATGATGTTGAAGACGAGGGCTAGATTCCCATCGCCGCCGACATCTCATGTTCCTTCTACGATTCGACTTCTACACCTCTTTAATTTCGACATCTGATATTCTTGACAGTTCCTTTCGGGAGCTCCCCTTCATTTCACGACTTACGAAGCGAGTGCTTTTGGGAAATCCGGTTGGCTTATGCATTTTACCCCTGTTGTCAGTCATGGACGCTTTCACACACAAATTGTCTTAGCTAGGGACTGGGTGGGATTGGGTCACACACACGGTGGGGCGGTCGGAGCATACGGCACTCACTCGGACGTTGGGAGTTATGTTGTTGCTTTCTATTCCTGTCTGCAGATGTGTGGACTATTCATTTTTTACTTCTGTTATCTTCTTGTTTTATCTGTTACGATCAAATACCCACACTCGCTATCTAGCTTGGCGAGAATACCCAATCACTGGCCTGGAGTGCCAGTGGCTACAATAGAAAGGGTCCTCCTTCATCGGACGAAAATCAATACCATTCCACTTACTTGAGAGGAGCTCTTCCAGTACCGACTGTTGTCTCTTGAAGTTCAATATTCAAAGCTGTGTGCGATATAGGCCACTCCTGCCTTCAGGGTAAAGCGTCGTACTAGCTCGTATATAACTTGATGCGATTGTTTATTTGATATATCACATTGTGCGTGAAACCAAGCTGTCAGAAGCACGATGTTTCCACCGCTGAGGATTGTGATTTGTACCAAAACCGCACGTCAGAGTTGCACTTGTCTTCCCGAATGTTGGTCTCATCTCTCCGATCTTTCAGCCTCGTGCCTCACTGTGAAGGGACTTGTGACATGCTTAATCATATATGCGACTGGTAAATCTATGAGAACCACGTCACTACGTGAAAGAGAGAAACTAAATATCTTATTAGAGCAGAGTACCTCTTCCTGCTACAACAAATTATATCAGAGCTATGTAAGAATTAATAGAAATTCTAGAAGTCTACAATTCTATTAATCTTTATAATCTCTGTTCTTAGAAGCTAATGTAAACTGTAAGGTAGAGCTTCTTATCTCTACCTGTTCGGTTTGTCTCTTGTGTAGGGTGGCGTGCAGATCTCCACAGTAGTGGATTGGTCATTGCTAAGTAATTCGTTGCGGAATTGGTGTGCGGAACCGCGCCTCGGTAAGTAACCGGAGATCTGCACCTGAGAAGTGCGGAGCTTCTGCAGACCGGACATGTACACCAATTTCGAGTGTGCTACGATAAGCATTGTTCTGGCTACTTCCATGTACGACTTACATGATGAATTCTTCGTCGTGCAGTCCTGCCACCCCTCACTCATCACAACCGCAAAAACATGACGAAGAGCGCAGTCAGCCAACACTCGGCGGATGAGTCAATCCGAGAAGTACAGGACGATACGTATGATGAGCCTGATGACCAAGAAAGAGATAGGATCGAAGAAGAGTGGCGCAACAGCATTCGCATGAAGGTTGACCTTCGACTTTGCAGCATCGCAGGTATCTTGTGCTCGCTCAATCTACTCGACAGTGGCGTGATATCCAGCGCATCCGTTACGTCGATGCTCAGCGACCTAGAACTGGACATCGGTAACAGATACTCGGTCTCTATCTTCATCTTCACAATTGCGAGCATTGCTTTCCAGTTGCCATCAACAATTGCTGTGCGCACTTTTGGTCCGCGTATCTGGTTCGCCTTGATCACTTTCTGTTTCGGCATCATTACACTGTGCACGGCTTTCGTACAGACATGGCGGCAGATGATTGCGCTTCGCATTCTACTCGGTATTGCCATGTCGGGTATCTACCCCGGATTGACGTATCTCATCTCGACATGGTACACGCGGAAAGAGCAACAGCTTCGGTTTGCCCTGATGCAGAGTGGAGAAGTCATTGTCTTGGCAACGGGCGGTATCGTCAACTTCGGGCTCAATCAGCTTGATGGCCAGTATCTCAAGGGATACCAATGGATGTTCGCTGTACAGGGGAGCATCACTGCGTTCTTTGGCATCTTGACTTATTGGTGGATGGTCGACTTTCCCGAGCACGCGCAAAACTCTTTCTACTTCCTCACGCCCCACGAGAGCGCGTTGGCATCTTCTCGCATTCAGAAGGACCGAGCCGATGTCAAGCCTGACGACTTTGCTTGGTCTAAAGTCTTTGTTCACGCCAAAGATGCAAAAGTCTACGGATTCTGCATCCTTTACTTCCTGCAGAACCTTGTCTCGACGTCACTCTCCTACTTCTTGCCCATCATTCTGCAAGGCGGAATGGGCTTCTCTTCTGATAAATCTATCCTGCTCTCTGCACCGCCTTACTACTACGCGGTTCTCCCCGCCATCTTGTCGTCGATCATCGGCGACAAGTTTCAGCTAAGAGGGCCAATCATAGTTTTCAACTGCGTCTCTCTAATTATCGGGTTTTGCATGCTGGGCTTCTCAGACCAAGTCACAGTGAGATATATCGGCACCTATCTTGCGACTGGAGCATACGTGGCGAACTGGGCTGCCATGGCGACTTATCAAGCGAACAATATCTGCGGCCAGTGGAAGAGGGTGTTCACGGCCGCGATGGTCACAGCTTTCAACGGAGCAGGAGGTATTGCTGGAAGCTTCATTGTCAGACAACCGGAGAGTCCGAGGTATATGACGGCGATTTGGGTGAGCATAGGGAGCCATATTTTGATCATTGGACTAGTTGGTGTGTTCTCGGTGTTCTTCTACATTTCGAACAAGCGGCAGACTAGGGGAAAGCGACTATTGGAAGGGACGGAGGGTTTCAAATTCACCTATTAGGCGAAGAGCAAAGATGAGAATACGGTTGACCTAAGGCAGACCCTGAGAAAAATCTACTCTACCAGTATTCCCAAGTCGCATTACAGTGCCGCCTAGTTCTGACCATGCTTACGTATGCCCTGTGCAATTGGGCACCATTCCGCGTCAGTGAGTCCAGACAGGTGAGTCGTGAAGGAGCAACGTACCCAGGCAACAACAGAAACATGTGAGCTTGTCATGCACAAAGCGGTTCGCCGACATGCTTGACCAGTCACAGGAACATGGGATGAAAGCGGGTTGACGTCGGTGTGGGGACCGTCTGGGACAAGGCGGATTGGCTCGTGCTGAGTCGCTCACAAGCATCGTCGACCCAACTCCCATCTGTCTCACCACTCCCGGCTGCTACAGCACGAGCATCCCCGCAGTCCCGGTTATCGAGCGCTCCTAGCAAGTTATCCTATTCGAACCCCTCTGTTTTCTGCTTCTCCACGCTGCTGGCCGCCGATTTGGTAGCGTCAAGCAGCTTCCCCCTGTCCAGCTGGCCCCTCGAACGGCAACAGCACCCCCGTGGCCCTCCGCCGAGCTTATGCGCATCGGCACAGGCTGTATATAGATTTCACAACCTATTCCGACACGCTGTACACACGTTCTGAGTCGGCGCCGCCCTCGTAGCCGCCACAATGGTGTTCCTAGGCATATACCGCGCCATCTACGACTATGAGCCCCAGAGCAGCAACGAGATCGCCCTTGACGAGGGCGACATCTTGATGGTCCTGGAGAAGTCGACGATTGACGCCTGGTGGAAAGCGAAGAAAAAGGGACGCGATGGAGACGATGAAGAGCCTGAGGGCTTGATTCCGAACAACTATATTGAAGAGGTATGCTGCGCCTCGTCCACAGCACAGAGCCCAGCTTGGGTCGCAAAGCTATACCAGACACAACACCACCGTTTGTAAAGATTCCTGTAGTCTGGAGACTGACAATGCCTACAGGCCGCACCCATCGCCCGCGCCAAAGCCCTATTCGATTACGACCGCCAGACAGACGAAGAGCTCTCTTTCAAGGAAGATGCCATTCTAGACGTTTACGACACCACAGATCCTGACTGGACACTGGTCGGAGTCGAAAGCGACTATGGCTTTGCGCCTGCGAATTACATCGAGCTTACCGAAGATGATGCGGCAGCACCACCACCAGCACCAGCAGTGGCATCTCCAGCGCTGCCAAGTCGCCCGCCAATGCCGGCAGCGAGGGACTCTTTTGACGACGACCAGCCGCCTACTCCTGACACTCCCCCAACGCAGAGTCCCGCTGCCGCCCTGGCTGGCATTATACAGAAGAAGTCGCAAGAGGCAGCTCCGCGATCGACCATCTCACCTCCGCCTAATGTAACCGCGCCTCCAAAACAACAGCGACGCGTGCAATTTACCCCGGAAGAGTCGGACGAAGAAGCGCCACCGCCCCGTCTTCCCACGCGGCCCGAATCCGAAATACGCTCGCCTCCGCCAACTCAATACACGCATGCGCGGTCCCCATCGCCTCCGGTCAGATCGCCCCCACCCCGGAGCGTCACATTTGACCAGTATGATCCTCCAAGTAGGGATGAGCAGCCCGCGACGCCCATGTCCGGCTCTGGCTATCATCTGTACAATATCTACGAGTACATCACGCAGCCAGGCAAGAATAAGAAAATGCCAATCACGCTGGGCGTCAACATCCCGAAAGGAATGATTATGATTGCGCCCGAGAAGTCGCGCGATGGACCACAACAGGAGTGGAGCGCAGATAAGATGGAGTACTATTCACAAGAGGGCAAGCACATATTTATGGAGCTGAAACAGCCAAGCAAGAGCGTTGATTTCCATTGCGGCGCTAAAGACACTGCATCCGAGATAATGCTGGCTCTTGGTGAGCTTGCCGGAGCCGCTAAGAGCGCAGGACTGCGCGAGGTGATAGCTGCTGGCTCCGGAAATTCTAATGTGCAGAAGAAGGGTGTTATGCTATTCGACTTCATGGCACAGGGCGATGACGAGGTTACCGTCGGTCTTGGCGATGAGATCTTGGTTATCGACGATTCTGCCAGTGACGAGTGGTGGAAAGTCAGGCGGCTCAAGAATGGCAAAGAGGGTGTCGTACCAGCTAACTACGTTGAAATCACAGAAACCGTCCCCATACATGCTCCTGCAGCCGCCATGGCTCGATCGGGAACCAACGCTGGCCGATCCATTGTCGAACAGAATAGGCGGGAGGAAGAGGAGCTTGCTCGCCAGGCCTCAAGACGGAAGAGGCCAGAAAGTGAGGCAAGGAACGATCAGGTAGGCCCTGGCCTGCACTTGCCTTCGCGTAACTCTAGTCTCATGCAAACAAATGTTGACCATCGTCGTACTTCACAGAGATCATCAAGCAAGCGCGAAAGCTCCGCGAAAGACTCGAGTTCGAAGTCCTCGTCTAAGCCAAGTCAGTATACAACAATTTCACTACTTGAGTTTCTTGATCTGTCTCTTACAAAGGGGTCTGCGCCTTCGGTGAACGCTGGCCATCTACCTAGTGGGACACAAAAGCACGCAATATGTGCGAGGAGAGATGCTAATTGAATTTGTTAGATGCTGCCAAAGTACGCACTTGGACCGACCGCTCTGGATCATTCAAGGTTGAGGCAGAGTTTATCCTGATCAAGGATGGCAAAATTCACCTACACAAAGTCAATGGCGTCAAGATTGCCGTACCGGTCACAAAGATGTCCGTAGAGGACCTCGAATATGTAGAACGCGTTACAGGAGAGTCTCTGGACGACGACAAGCCTTTGTCAGATCTGAAGAGGAGAAGCATGCAACAACCTCGCGCAAAGGACTCTGGTCCAACCGGCATTTCTGTCGAGAGGAAGCCAGAGTACGATTGGTTTGACTTTTTCCTCAAGTGCGGTGTCAACCCCCAGATCTGTGAACGCTACGCTAGGGCATTTACCAAGGACGAAATGACAGAAGAAAACATACCAGATATTACTCCCGGGCTTCTGCGTACGTTGGGTCTCAAGGAAGGTGACATTCTCCGTGTCACCAAGCACTTGGACGCACAGTTCGGAAGGGATAAGCGAAATGCTGAAGATGGAGGAGAGGGAGCTTCTGGTGGCCTGTTCTCCGGTCCAGGAGGTGCACTGAGAAACAACACTCGTAAAGGACGTCCTGCACCGCCTGTTGAAACAAACGATGTCGTTGACCCGAAAGCGTTTGAGCCAAAGTCCGACGACACAGTCAAGAAGCCTGCAGATGGTACCCCGACACCGCTGGCGTCCGCACCCACTCCTGACAAGACTGCAAATGGATTTGACGATAATGCATGGGATGTCAAGCCATCAAAATCTGCGTCTGCCCCTGCGCCAGCAGCATCTCCGCCACCAGCACAAGCACCTGTAGCGAAACCACCTCAGCTGACCGGATCTATGAACGATTTGTCTCTCTTGGATATGCCTGCGCTCAAGCCTGATGAGATTGCTCAGCCAACACCTCCCGCTCCGGCACCCCAGCCAACGCAAGCGCCTGTTCAACAGCCTCCCGCTCCCGCTCAGCAGCCACAGCCGACCGGCGCTACCCCTACCCTGTTTGAACAGGTTGCGGCTATTAAGGCTCTTACCCAGCCTCAAAACATGGCTCCACCGCGTATGCGACCACAAGCTCCTCAACAGCAAAACACTGGTGGTCTCATTGCTCCACCACCGCAGCGGTCTTCCTCTGCCCCTATGAATCCGCAACAAAGTGCTTTTGGCCCTCCACCACCTCTACAACCTCAGCTCACAGGCTACAACCCCAACATGATGGGCCAGAACTCCGGACAGGGCATGCCACCGATGCAACAGCAAATGACAGGCTTCCCACAGCAGAATGGCGGTTTTGGGTTCCAGCAAAACGGCATGATACCGCAACCCACAGGCTACAACTCCATGTCTCCCCCCCAGCAACAGCCCATGCAGACTGGGTTTGCGCAATACCAACAACAGCAGCCAACCGGTTTCCAGCAGCCTATGCAGACTGGCTTCCAACAGCAGCCCCACTTCACCCAGGGCTTTGGGAATGGCAGTCCCTTTGCCGACCCACCACGTGCACCGTTCCAGCCCCTCCAGGCTCAGCCCACTGGTTACAATTCGTTCCAACCATCCCCGCTTAACCCACAGGCGACTGGCGTCAACCGCTTCCTACCCCCGGCCCTTGCGCCACAGCCAACCGGTTACCAAAGCACTCCGCCTCTTCCTCCCATGCCGCCAATGCCTTCGATGCCTACGGCTCAGCCTTTGGTGCCACAGAAGACCGGTCCACCTCCAAGCATCAAGTTTGGTGTACAGCCCGCAAAGAAGCTTACGCCTCAGCCGACCGGGAGGGCGAACCTTGCCAATGCCAGTAAGTCTTTAAAACTGTTTTGTGTAATCACTTTCTAACTATCGATCAGCTCCCCAAAATCCTTTCGGTTTCTAATTCCACTTGCGATGGTTGTTCGCTCTTTTCGCACCCCTTTGCTTACTTACGGGGCATCCGCTTAATTACCCTACCACCATATGTATATGTACATAAGTTCTGTGATACTTGTTCGTTGTTCGGAGGTGTGGATTCGCAAGGCCCGATAGCATTCTTCATCGCTTCACGTAGCACTTACTTGCATTCAACACCCCCAATTACATGCAATCCGGCGTCTTTGCTGTCCTTTTTTCTGCTTTACACAGCCATTGCTTTGATTTGGGTATGCTGGTAGGCCCGATGTTGATTGTTACGGAAAATCAGCATGCGCCACTTTATCGGCCCTTTAATTATATGTCTAGAATGGGGCTGAGATGCGTGGTATGATGGCTCAGCTACGGAGATGGTCGGACCTACGTAGCTTGTAAAACAGAGATAGTCCAAACCCAGATGTGCTTCTAGACAATGTGACATGCTCAGAGCAACTGCACAAAGCGCATGTCATAAGTGCGGGATAGATTCACCCCTGTTCTCGAGCTGTGGTTCACCCCTTCGCGCGAAGCAGATGCGAGACCAAGCCTTTGCCAAGTAAAGCTTAGCCCAACGCATCAATGGCATGAGCACCCCTGCTGTGGCTGGCTGGCTGGCCGATCCGATGTCGTAACCACACAAAACCACGCACGCGTTCGTGGCTCTGCTTGTCAAGTGTTGCAACTCAAGAGAGAGCGTCGTAAATGTACATCGGCCACATGTATCAGTGTTAAGGGCTTCGTCATCGTGCAGCCAACCCAAAAAAATGCCCGATGTCGCGCTGTCAAAAAGCATGACAAGCAGGTGTGGCGATGACGAAAGCACACCAAGCTTCCTTCGTACCCCGGCTTATCTGCGCCAATAGTTGGGCCCACCGCGAATGTGGCTCATGCTAACTAGCGTAATAGACCGGCTGGGCCGAGTGATGCATGTCCGCGTGAGTGAGTGAGAGGATGCGCGCGTTTTAAAGGCGGCGCATCCCCTCGCTCCCAGTGGAAGGGTCCACTGTATTTCCTCCAGCCTTACGTTGCCTTACTCCTACCTTCACTCCCAACGCCCTACCTCGCAAAGGCTGCTATCGTCTTCACAAGCGAGAATCAAGATTCTGGTAGTTCCTCGGCGAAAGCTTGGTATCAGACTTGGTTGCGCGACACCTGATTACTATCGGTTGCTACCTCATCCTACATACATCACCAGCGAACAAACGGATCGCGAACGCATAACATCAAATCGAACGCGACTCTCAATCCACACACTCTAGAGAATCGGGTTAATAAACATGTCGAACCAAGGCTACTACCAAGGCGGTCCTCAGTACCCACAACAAAGGTACGTTGTTTCCTGCCCCAAATCGACAACTCGCACCTGTGTCGCAAAGTCATGCACATTTGATTCTTTTTCCAATATCCAAAACATCTTACTTAGTGGAAGATGCTAACGCCATTCTCACAGCTACGGCCCCCCAGGCGGCCAAGGCTATGGTCAACCACAATATGGCGCTCCACCACCACAGCAACAAATGTACTACGGCCCTCCGCAAGGACAGTATCAACAGGGCCCGCCACCCAAACAGAAGAAGGACAGAGGTTGTTTGACAGCTTGGTAAGTTGGGTACCGTACACATTTAAAGAACAAGGAACTGCAACTAACAGAAGATTAGTCTGGCAACACTTTGCTGTTGTTTCGTTTGCGAGGAGGGATGCGAGTGCTGTGCTGATTGCTGCGAGTGTGCGGCAGAGTGCTGCTAGACAGCAGGAATGGTAATGAGGAGTGGCATTGAGGCACTGAGCGACTATCGGGTATTGAGGATATGGTGTCAGCACATGTCGGTCATGCGGCTGAGTTTTGGCGAGACGTGAGTCGGCTCACATGTTCATGATTGGCTTTTTGTCTCTTTGAGTATACCTGACCACTTCCGGTTTCTTTTTACAATGTTCAATCCATGGCCTTTTTGTTTCTCGTAACAAAAGCAGTGCATGCTTCTTCATTCATCGATCCGGAGCCGACTTTCTTGTCTAGCCAACTTTGATGCATTCATGGTCTTGTTGGCTTGGTCTATAGAGCTTTGAAGAGGGAGAAACACAGGTTTGACACTCTGTGAGCTCACGTTTGCATGTCCTGTAAACTTGTTCTTCTGAATAGGGCTTCTGGTTTTGAAAGTCGAAGTGATACAGTAACGAAGCTGCAAGACGAAGACTCATATACGTGCCGTCAGAGGCTTTCGTATGTGCTGTTCCCGCAAGCATCTTAATGCAAAGTCACTAAAACGTAACCCCGCATGGCCTTTTATGTTCCCCACTGGAAAGTCATCGTACAAGAATTTCAAAGTGATATCATAGGTGTCTATCCATCAGCAAAGGCAAGAGGCCAACCCGATCTCAATGCCTGCTTGCACAATAGCCACAAGATTCCCGATCGCAAGCTTTTTGCACGCACCCATCGTCACTTCTTAATCACCAGCAACACCTTATACATCCTTCCAACTCCGACTTGTCACCCTGTCTCTTGCATCTGATCTTTGACCTCTTCTCATATCTCGATACTCTCTCACGAGCCCAACCCTCTCGCTGCCTTGATCGATCATTCTCATGGTTCTTCTCTCTTCTACAAACGTAGCAGGCTGTCCATTTTCATCGATACCCTTCCAGCTTCTAACTTCAGTGATCTCTCCAGAGTGCGCGCTCTCCGAATCCGTGTTATCTTCCTCCTGTCTTCGGCAGTTAGATGGCGGGGTCACATGCCCGGTACGCTCGAGGGCTCGTGTGCGGGTAACGTGACGATATAGTGGCTGTGGTGGACGCTCGGGCGACGGAGAGGAGGGTGGTGCGTGTGGTGTATGGCGAGTGGTTAGAGGGGAAGTACGCCGGAAGCGAGTTTCTTCATAACGTCTAGAAAGTGGAGGGGAGGGCGAGAGACGGCGCTGTCGATCGATACGAATCTCCTCTTCATACTGTTTTCTTGGAGATGGCGATGAGTTGCGAATACGGATCCTTTCAAAATCCTGAGTTGGTGACTCAGGCGGAGGGCCATCGACGACTCGGTGCCGAGAATACTCCCGATAGTGATTGTAGTTGTCGCCGCTTGCCATTCGCGTATCTAAATACCTTGGTCTGCCTCTTGGTTCAAGTACCGGCTCTTCTTGCCTTCCTCCTTCACCAAAATGGACATGTGGCCCTCCCACTTCGACATGCGTTCTCTCCTGGCTTTCGCGCACTATGTCCTTCCTCCGGTAAGAGGTCTCGCGATCGGTGCCTATAGGTTTTAGAATACTCCGACTAGGTGACTCCAGACGGCGACGCGGCACAGAGTCAGCGTTGCTCGAAGTTTCATCTGACAACTTCACAGAACTACGACGCTCTAGAACGATCGACCGGTACGGCCTTGGATGCGATATAAGGCGAGCCTCCGCTTCCTCGCTCCGCCTCTCAGCACGAAAGCTGACTCGGACGGGAGATCTACTTTGACTCCTAGACCTTCGTTCTTGCGACTCAGTCCGATACATGACTCTCGCGGATCTCGTCTGAGGCGGAGGAGACGGACTGAGCTCGACGATCCTGGAACTCACTCGGCGTGTGGGGCTTCTCTCAATCTTCCTATAGGAATGAGTATGAACAATATCTGGTGGAGGCCATACCTCATCGGATTTTGAGACACGACTGGGGAGTAGCGCAGGCGGCGCAGAGTATACTTGATCTGACTGGGTTGCCCTTGAGCGAATAATGTCAGGCGGGAGCCAGGCTTCTCTAGCGTACCTTGACGAACGACGGGAACTCAACGAAAAAGTGTGTGCTCTCCGCTCAGTTCTGGGTTCCTCTCGAGGTCGTTGGAGAGCTCGTAGGCCTAGGTATGCTCGACTAGACTCACGTCTAATCACACGTGGGCGACTGGGAGAGTAGCGCGCAATATAGGCTTCCTCTCTGCTTCGCCTCCGACCCCTGCGCTCATCATGTTCGATGTCAATGTGGACACACTCTTCAGGCCATTTGCATGGCACGTCGGCCGTACACTTTCGGATGTGTGTGTATCTGCTGCTTGAGCGGTATGAGCTCTTAAGCTTCTTCTCGCATCGTCGGCAGAGCGTGGGAACCATAGGCTTGCCAGGGAGGACCGGGTTACTGCGATGGAAGCCTGCGGAGCGCATTTGGCCGCAGTGACTACAGGTGTGACACAGCATAACTGGTACAGCCACTTCTTCGACCTGCAGTGGTGGTGCCGCAGTTGCCTGGGATTGCCCATATCGTTGGCAGTGATATCGTTCGCTTGTCTGCTGTGATCTTGACTCCATATTATCCTGCTGCATATCCCGTGACGATGGCACCATGGCGCTCGTAAGTGGAGCCATTCGCCGACGATCCATATCAGAATTCTGGTTGTTATACTGCCGGTCGGCGTTAGATCCTAGTGGAGGCGGGGGCTGAGGGATATAATCCCTTGGTGCCTGAGCATATCCTAATGGACCAGCTGTTGAAATCTGTTGTTGACCCTGTTGCTGTGCCTGCGGATCTAAAAGCGGCGCTGGGCGCTGTGGGATTCCGGTCTGACTGTAGGTGCCTTGGCCGTATCCAGCCTGCGGATAGCCTCCCTGATATCCTGGAAACGAAGCGACGGAAGAGGAGGCTGCCGGTGGGGGTGTTGGTGCCGCAGGAGGTATTCCAAGGCCTGGAAATTGCTATAAAGATGTAAGCTGTAGTCTGTCGATTGGCGAATCACGCGAGAGACCGGACAAGACAGTCCGATTTCAAGAACTCCTGTATCTCATTGTTAGCCAACCTGTAGTCTCTGGGAAACGTGACGCACTCACACACTGAAAAGATACGAGTTGGCTGGCTGGGCGAAGGAACCCGGGTACTGAGGAATTGGCTGGCCTTGGTTTTGGTCTTGTCCGTTGCTGCCACTGCCACTGCCACTGCCGCTGCCGCCAGTGCGGCCCATGTACGACTCAAAGGCCCTTCTCTGCTCTTCATTGGCCATTGTGTGGTTGTGGTAGGTGCGGACGTGCGACTGGACGTGTAGGAGGAAGGTCAAAGAGCGGCGCTGATTATCGAAGCCACGTGGGCGCCGAGGGAGAGAGGTGCAAATAGGTGTCAAGAGGAAAGAGCGACAGGAAGAAAGGTGGGGCAAACTGAAGATGGACTCAGAGGACTGTAGAAAATCATGTCGCCACGAGCGGTGAACGGGAGGTCAAAGTGAAGGAGGGTCGCGTGACCGCGATCCATACCCATCGTATACACTCGTCGTACTCGAGCCGTGTCGCCAGCCACGGTATCTATGCATTCTTGCCGCAACTCACCTCATGGATGCCTACAATGGGAGCTAATATTCCTTTATTTCTTCCCAGACGCCCGCCTGCGAACAATGCCGGTATGGCTTATTTTGTACAAATGCTACAAATCTCTAGCAACATCGTCATATACCTGAAAATCTACTCCACTCTCAAGACCCTAGGTCCTTTTCTCTTGGTGGACCTCTTCTTCTTGTGGCCCTTGTCAAACGACACAGCGCTTTGGTGATCGCGGCCAAAGTTGTCGAGATCCTTGACCTTGTAGATCCTAATGATCCAGTTCTCGCTGGTAAAGGCCTCCTCGATGGTGCTGAGCTCGGGGCCCTGTGCGGGGAGACGCGCGTTACGAACACGATCCTGGGCCTGTCCAGCGGGGAACAGTGCGTTGTAGTTGTAGTACGACATCTTGTACCTGGTAACATTGTTAGTGGCTGTTATGGCTGGCTGGAACTAGATCACTTACATCAAGCTGTTCTTCATAGTTTCGGTGGCCTCACCGTCTACGCGGTACTCGCCTCGTGGGGTGAAGAAGTTGCGCTCCTTGACCTCATCAGGCCAGATACCCTCAGCGATCCTGACCATCCAGAGGAACTTGTTGATGTCATCGCCAGAGTAGCCTAGAAGACCACCAAAGACCACCAAAACGTAGTCAACCTCGTGCTGGCGCATGATGGGGTAGCTGACTTCCTCCCTGGAGCTCATAGCCTTACCAACGGTAGCAATGTGCGTGTTGTTCCAGGTGTTGTTGTCGACAAGGGTAGGGCGGTCGGCCATACCGCCAATCTGGTAACCGTAGTCCCACCAAGACATGATCTTAGCGTTCTGGGGGGTGTTCTGCCTAAGCCAGTAGTATGCCTCACGGTAGTCATCGATGATGTGCTGGCTGCCATCAGGAAGCCTTGATGCGAGCACTACAGAGGGCGAAGAGTAGGCGTTGGAAGTGACCCATGTGCAGTGAAGGACGAAGAGCATGAGGTAGATGGCGGAGGCTCCGGCAACGGTAAGCTTGGAGGCGTATGAGTAGATTCCAACGAGCGGGTTGCGCGTAGATCGGAGACCTTCGGGGATCACTGCTGCAGCGGCAACTGAGACAGCATCAGTGCTACCGTTCTCAGTAACAGGCTTGGGAGTCTTGACGTCCAGGTAAGTATCCAGGATCTTGGAGAAGGCCATTGCCGATGCTACGCAGACAATGGGAGTCAGAGTAAGCATGAGACGGACCATGACACCAGCGAAGTAGCTGGCAAGCACAGCGTAGATGACGATGAAGACTTGCTCATCGGTCAAAGTCTGGAAGCACAGGTAGACACCTGCGGGGAAGAGCCAGATCATGAAGTTGAGATCGAAGAAGAAGGCAGGCCACGCGGTAGGCTGATGTTCGGAGACAGAGGCAATGATGGGAATGTGGATCTTGGCATATCCGGTGTCCCAGAGCGAGTAGAAACGGCCGGTCCAGGGCGCGATGACTCCGGAGACGGTCAGAAGCACCAGTCCTCCAACACCGATGACAAAGACACCGAGGACAAGAGCGCGGAGCAGCGTCTGGAACTGCTTGCCGGGAAGTTGTGCGCGAACCCAGTCGACAAAGGCAACCAGCTGGAGGAGGCCAAAGACACCAAGCGCGGACATGTGCTCGCTACTGCGGATAGGCAAGAAACCAACAAAGGGAATCTGCATACTCGCAAGCGTGCCGAGCGCATACCACGATGTGTAGCTGACGTACAACCTCGGGCTGTATCGTCCCATGCAGATCAAGACGAAAACATGCAGAGGCAGCAAATTGGTGATGAAGACGTATCCACCCCACGCTGACACCATGTATCCGTAGAACAGGGCACTCATTGCGCCCCAGAACATTGATCCGTTCTTGACCGCCTTGATCCACAGATAAAAGGTGAAGACCAGCAGGAAGATGGCGATGGCCTCGTTGTCGTAACTTCCCGCAACGGATCGCGAAATGTAACCGGGCGTGATGCCCATGAAGGCTGCGGCGAGCAGACCAGCGGAGGGGGATGGAACCATCTCGGAGGTCAGGAGATAGGTGGCGAGCGCGGTGAGGCCTGAGAAGGCGGGGGCGAGCAGGACACAGATGTTTCGAATGTCAACAGGAAGGCTGATGGCGCGGAGGAAATGGTAGATGACACCGCTGGTGACCATCAGTCCTGGGTAGAGAGTACCACCAGTAACTCGCCCAAGAGGATGCCATGTTCCTGTATCCCAAGTTAGTCAATTGCGTCTCGAGGGTGCTGAGGGGGTGTGCGGCCGGGGTGCGCGTACGGTCGTCGAACCAGTCCCAGAAGCTGTAGAAGCCATTCTGTACTAGGTATTTCGTTGCTCGGAAATTGAACCACGGATCGACTGTGAAGCACAGTCAGTCAATTGCTTTGATACTGTTGCATTGCGGTACTGACACTCGTGGATGATGCTCTCAAAGCGAATCACGGAGAACAGACGGCTGCTTACTGCAGCGGCAGCGATGAGGACCAGGATAATCACTCGAAGCAAGCCTCGAGTGTTGCGGCCAGTCGCCTGCTTGAGGAGCTGCCCGTCATCTGCGGCGGCAGCCATGTTTGCAGGAGAAGATAAAGCAAGGTGAGGTTGTTGGTCGCAAGGCCGCGTCACGGAACTTCTCGAGAGCTATGGTTCATGAGCACACGTTTCCAACTCCACGCCTCGGCATTTGGTTTCGCCGACATGCTTTCACCCACCCCTGCAACGTCATCATCATCGCGGGTGAACAATACCACATGTATTGGGGGTTTTCTTTTCTTTCACTCGATCACCGTGACCGTATTATTATAAGCTTGACCAACTACTGGTTTAGACTATCTAAAGGGTATCTCGATCTTGGTCACCCATGCGCCGTAAGCTACGAACCTCATCCAAAGAAGTCCATCGATTCCATCATGAAAGTCTCATCCTCTTGGAAATTGCAATCAGTGCACAGTGGATGGGGGCAATTGGTACACGCAACGTCAACGATACCACAAGGACTTCCGCAAGAACACTATGATAGTTAGCCAAAGCCGTACTTCCCTAGATGATGGGCGGCTTACACAGTAGCGGTTCATTATAAGCGTAGTTTGCTTGCGCTTTGGCGGTCGCGGGGCATATGTGTCGTCTTCAACTGACCGTTTCCTCTTACTCGCCTTCGCAAAGCCAGGTGGAGGCGGTGGGGATGTCGTCGTCGCATGTATTGGCATCGGCATCGGCGTCAACATACCAGACATGTTGTGTCGACGAAGCTGTGGTTGCGGCTGCGGGGCGTCATCGTCGTCTCCAACAGCATCTACATCACCATCCTTCTCTCTCTCATCTTCATCATCGAAGCGTTCTCTTTTCAACTTCTCTTCAAGCAAGTCCTTTTTCAGTCGGTTCTCCTCAGCACATATCCAATCATCGATGCTTCTCTTCTCCTTCTCGAAGTGATACGCAATATGATCAAACCGCTCATCCCATGCTGCATTGCGCCGTTCTTTGAGCTGCTTTACAACCCCGCATAAACCACACCAGAAAGAGCCTTGGCAGTTCTTTCCAATCTTGCTATTGTCTAAGCGCTTTTGGGATTCCTCGCATGGGGTCTTGTGCTGCGTCTCTAGGTGGTTTCTGAATGCTCCTTCTCGGTGGAGGTGCACACCGCAAACTTCGCCTGTCGGAAGTGTCTCATCGCAACGAAAGGCTTCCTGTTGGAAGTGCTGGCTGTTCTCGTGGCGCTTCCAGTCCGACTTTGCGCCGAATCGTTTGTGGCACTTGGGATATGTGCAGCCATAAGGCCGATCGTGTCGTTTCATGTGTTTGCGCAGATCGCACTCACGAGCGACTGCGAATCCGCAACCGGGGTACGGGCATTTCTTATCATTATGAAGCGTGTCTTTGCTGTTGCGACGCTGTCCTGTATGAGAAGATACTGGGCCTTTGTTCAGAAGCTTCGTTACCATGTCCATTAATACCGCATTCTTCTCCGGCCTCGATTGCTCTTCAGATCTGTCTTCGCATTCGGCCTGGTCCTTGGCTTTCTGTATCATCTCCAACATGATGCTTTCGAGGTCCACAGAGCTCGGTGAGTGTGACTGTCGCTCAGACTTCTTTTTAAGCTCCTTTTGTTGCTCAGCCTTAGTCTGTGGGGCATTGGATAGTGCAGAATGGGACGAAGACTGTTCAAGTTTGAGGCTGTTTCTTCCAGATACGCGAGAAGCCGTCTTGGTGGTAAGCAGAGGCTTCTGTATTGGCTGGGAAGACACTCCCGGTGCGTGATATCGAGAGCGTGAGGACTTTTGCATTTTCTGAATACCAGCATTGTGAGGTGCTGAGGTGCGCCCAGCTCTAGACGGCCGAGACAGTGATTGTATGTTTCCCACAGGGTTGGAACTTGGTCCAGACGAGAATGAATGTCTGGCACTCTGTGGCGGAAGGAAGTCCAGCACGGGCGGCATGGTTATGGTCGGACTGACTGAGAAGGAATTCTCCATCCCTGATACTGCAATATCAATGTCCATTGGTGTAACGCTGGCTTCCTCCATCGGAGTGTCAGCGTTCTTTGGGCGGCATATTGATCTACCAATGTCAGTTTAGCTGGTGCTTTGAGCGGAAAGCAAACGCATTTACCTTTCTATGACATCAAGGACGTTTTCATCTTTGTGCATCCTCTCTACATGCTGCTTGAAGTTGTCTAGACGCGGCCACGTCTTTTCTTTGTTTCTGCAGTTCTCTACTGCACATCTGTAAGATTTCTTGTCGATACCCTTTCGATGTAGACTCCTTTGGTGCCTATCGAGATCATTTGTTGTTGTAAAGCCCTCTATCCGCTTGCAGCCAGGTATCTCACACTTGAAGGGCTTGTCGTGTTTGAGCTTGTGTTTCCTGCCATTATCAGTCAGCATGTGCTCATCTCGCGATGATGTCGCCTACGCACTTAAACTCTGAATTACACTTGAGTATCTCTGAACATTGAGGGCAATGGTACGCTTTCTTTGACTTGCCACTACGACTGCTGACGAGCGATAGCTGATCTGAAGGCATCCGTGACATTGTAGGAGCTTCGCTAGTGACAGACTCGACGTTCATGCCGTCCATATTGGACAGAAAGCCTGCTGGTAGCTCTTGATTGACACAATCGGGGTCATTGCTGACAACGGATCGAGTGTTGTGCGAGAAGTACCCTTCATCAGACGGTGAAGCCTGACTGCCAATATCAGACTTCGGGCCATATGAGAGCCGGAAGTTCGTATTTAGTTGACGTGGCGGGCCGTGAGATCCACTGGATTGGGGATTCCTGAGATTGAATGGACTCCATGCTGGTTCGGGCATTCGGCTCGCATTTGTGTCGTAATAATGAGGTACATAGTTTGGATCGAGAAAAGATGAGTCCCTGGTCAGGTCGAATCCGATGCCACCTTCTACAGGCGAAAAGCCCTGAGAATAAATCATATAATTAGAGTCTCTTAGCTGCTGTGTATTTCTTGCTGTGTTTGCAGACCCCGATGAGATGGGCCTCCGAATGCGTACATCCTGTGCACTCCGTGGCCGTTGAGAGGGTTGCCATGACTCGGCCGGCACAGTATCGATATGCAAGTCAGGTATTCGTCCATTGTACTGATATCTGGTCGAGGGAAGATTGCTATAGGGTTGTGAATAGCTCCCATTTAGGTTTTGGTGAGACATGTTCGCTATCATGGGTCAGCATCTTTCGGGCTGCCCAAGGCATCAACATGTCATCCACACTAATCAACCACGACTGGAACACGAAAGAAGGCACCCGAGTGGCACGAGAAAATTTCCATCAAGCATCAAAAGAAAAATATAAGCTGCCTTTCAAAAGGCAACAGCAATACATACCTCGAACTCAACTTTCAGCCTGCTGCAGGATGATAGCCTGACGCCTGTCCCAAGGAACGCAGTACGCAAACCGTTTCAAACAAAAGGGTGCGCAGGTATGCATTAGTAGATCTCAGCTGCAGTACACCGCCCCAATCTGCTAAGAGTGACAAGCCAGATAGGTGCGTGTAACAGATATGTATGTGAGGTCCTCCGTTTCGTGTCCCTGCGCACGGGCATGCGCTGCCTGGCCGGTGTGAGGATGAGGGAAGGCTCCACGCCAAGACGTCGTCACTTCATCGCATGCGCATGCTCTGGACGACGTGCTTCGGACTCTTTCGATTCGAGGTGAGCAAAATAGGGGTCAGTGGTATGTCGTCATGTCGCTTTTGATACACTATGGTTATCGCAGTCCGATGGCCATGATCGCGATGGTTAGGGCCACTACGCATGTGGGCGGCCTCCCAGTCCTCCTCTCACCGGAGGGGTACCAAGAAGGCAAACGTTGCCCTGTTTACCCTCCTTCATGATTCTGCAAGCTCATTCGTGCTGCCGGTACACCTAGCGAGCCGTTCGTCGAATTACAGATGGAGGACCTCATGTTGCGGGTGGCTGTGCAGAAAAGGTCCTCCATGTGTGTCGGGGATGCAGGAAGCCAATCACCGCTCAGCACCGGATTGCTCCCCGTCGGCGCGATCGATTTAGCACGCCATGCTGATGTGTGTGACTGGGCGCGGGGGTCCGTGTTTTGGAAATGGGACGCAAAGATGCCTTAGGCGGGACTTGTTGCTGTCTGTCGCCGAAGAGAAACGTGTCGTGATAGAGTCGCTCCGGACTCAATGGTCGAGATTCAGAGAGTGGGTCACAGCTTCGGTTGAGAGCTGTGCTCCTCAAAACACATCACTTTGCAAAGAGTGGAAGGTACAAGGAGCATGGTATTGTGCAAATGATGCGCCAATGTCTATCATATCATGCATGCCTGTTGCACCATGAAATGCTGATAATGTAGCCGACCCAATCTGTAAGCGACAGTAGGTGTCTCAACACGTCTAAACCAATTCGCCTCATAACCGTAAACTCATCTTCCGGTGCGCAAGAGTGGATATCGTAGGAAACAAAGGAAAACAAAACAGACATTACGACGTGCTGCGCATCGTGGGCGTTCGACGGAAACTTCCCTCCCTCGCTTGTCGCCCCCTACTGCTGATGCTGGTATTGATAATTGTGTTGCGCGGTCAAGTACGACATGGCGGGGTAGGTGCTGCCCTGCTGATAATGCATAGTGTTGTTGGTGTCAAACCCCATGTTAGGCATCTCAGTCGTCAAGCCCTGTGGCTCTTGTGTGTAGTAGGAAGGAAAAGGTGTAATCGTGGTGTCGACCGGAGAGTCTGTGTACATCGACTGCTGCTGTTGGACAGTACTAACAGGATTCATGCCATATTGCTGTAGTCCGCTTTGTATGTTTCCATTATGATATGGCTGATTTGGAATTTGGAGTCCGTTCGCATAGCCATTGAGTGGCTTCCGAGGAACCTGTAGGCCTGGATAGGTCTGGTTTGTGTGGTACGCAGCATTACTTGCCGCATAGTTAGCATAACTGCTAGTTTGAGTCGATGGTGGTGCCATTTGTGGTGGCGGGTACGTTTGCATTCCCGTGGATCCTGTTTGAGATTTCGATTCTTGAGGGTAGAGACTCCGGGGGTCGATACCAGGCGCATACGTTGCATTAGGGTTGTACCTCGATGGATTGTCCACTGGCGAGCGGCTTGGGGTGATGGATAACTTGCGGCTCTCGGGCAACTCAACCACTGGACTGATAATGCTGTCTGCATTGAGCTGCTTCTGATCCACAAGGGTGAGAATGGGCATGCTGATCTGCTCCATGTGTTTTGCCAGGTGAACGGTCAGTTTCTTCCAGCTGTTGCAGATGTTACCACAGAACCGACAAGGCTCATCCTTCGGCTGTTTGGTGGTGTCACGACGACATCGTTCAACAATGACCCAAATATCATCTGAAACACGTTAGCGATCTGCAAAGTAACTAACATCATCCATCTCACCTTGATCGCCTGTAGTTGGTGCATCTTTGTTAGCGGCTCGGGTACGTTGTCGTGGCTCAGCTATCTTATGCTCACGAACAAGATGTTGCACAAAGTTGTCCTTACGGTAGCATGTGTGGTTGCAATCAGCGATCTGGCATGTCCAATTCTCTAGCTGGCGATGTCGCTCGTTCTCGTGCCGAACCCAGTCTGCCTTACGTTTGAATGACTTGGGTTCACCACAATTGGGAAAGGTGCATGTAAAAGGTTGCACGTCTTCATGTACATGCTTGGTCCAGTCGGATGGCTTGTAGAACTTCTTGACCTTGAAGCACAGGGGGCATTCGAACTCAGCTGGTAAACGTTTGACAGGAGGAAGTGGTACACCAGAAGGGAATGCAGCAGGAGCGACATTTCCTTCCATAGGAGGCTCACCATCATCGTCAGAAGAACCAGGCAAGGTAACCTGGAAGCCGATGAAGGGGGTATCGGCATCCTTAGCCCCTGCTTTCGGAGGAAGCTGCTTTGCTTCGCCACCAAGATCGGTGCAAAACCCTCTTGACGCACAGTTCTTGTGCTGCACGGCGTTGAGATGCTTGACCTTGAATTCCAATAGCCTTTTGTATCTGCGCATCTGTTCTTGGGTGATGCGCTCAACCATAAAGTCGGCTAGACGAGGGTTGAGTTGTCTAGCATGAGCCCTGAAGCCGTCGTACGTGGGAATAATAGGGTCCGTGCGGACCGTGAGATCCATACTGACGGGGTCTTGATCGTCGTCGTCGTCATCTCCTGCTGGGCTTGGCTGTGCAGATGGCTTCGTCGCCTCTGTATCTGCAAGCGGTGAGGCTAGCATGGGCATAGGTGGGCCTCCATGCTGTGTCATCAGCTCAGCCAGTCCTGGCGACCGACCGATATCACTCCTACTTCGGCTGCGTTTGATAACGTTCCTGGGACCTTTATACCATGGTCCAGCAGCCGCAGATAAACCCATAGAACTACGCGGCTCTGCTTCTTTGCTGTGATTGCTCAGGTTCGTATCAACTCGAGGCGACTTCGGACGACCCCAGCTACCTATGCGCTTTGGCTTTTCGATGATCGGCTCTTTGGACTTGTCCGAAGCTGTGTCGGACTGTTGTACAGGTATGCTACCTTTACGTTTAAGCAGCAGATTGCTTGGTGTACGTTTGGGCAAAATATTTTCTAAGAAACTGGGACGACGTTGTCGCTCTTTGCTCTTCCTCGGCTCAGGTTCAATAACCTTGATGACACCTGGAGCTGCACGGATACTACCAATGTCAGATTCGCTGAGACGCCGTGAACCAACCGTAGCTGCAAGTGAAGCTTGTTCGACGTCCTTCGATCGCACCAAGAAGCGCATCATTGCAGCATTCGATGTGGGCGGCTGGTATCGAGCCGAAGTATTTGGAGGATGGGGTTGCGAGGGTCCATCTACCCATGGTTTTATAACAGCACCATCCTTTGATATAGATTCTTGCGTGAGGGGAAAGTACGAATTCTCGACGTGGCTCGCATTGACGTCGATCGCAGCGGGTGGAGATTCGGGTTCTGCCGATTCATCGTCATCGTAGTCGTAGTCACCGTAATCGCTCCGTTCGTCAATATACACGCCAGGCCCAGGTATACCCGAGTCGTCTATACGATCGAAGTCGGTACGAACACCCAGTCCGAAGCTATTTGGGAGGGCCCGCCGTTGAACGTCGTTATGACTCTTTGCTCGACGTCTACCCGTGATTGGCTTGAGCAGATTGTTTGATGGTCCCACATCGCCTGCTTCGCTGCCAACTTCACTCTTTGTGAGCCACTCTTGTACTTCCAGCTTCTTCTCGTTCTTCGATCGTTGTTCTGCAATCTCCTCTATGCTGGGAATCCACGCGTCGCCCATCCGACGTCGATCGTCCGGATTAATGCCGCTCTGCCCAGAATCCCCTGTCAGCAACCATGAACCGTCGTCATTGCGTTCAGGTCCGCGGACGACTGGTCGCACGTGTACGTGCTCCTGCGAGTCCCCTTCCTCATCAGAGGTTTCGTTATGGGCGTAAGGTGATAAGTGATTGCCAGAACGGCGGCTGCTAAAGCTCTGCCTGCTGGCAGGCATGCTGTTGTCGGAACGTGAAGGTGAGTCTTCTCTACTGTAATTCTCTACACGCACAATGGGGCTTGTCAGATGTCGTGTGAGAGGCCGAGGGTTTGCCATTGATAGATCTCCGGAACTGTTCGTCAGGGCTGGGCTATGAGTTTGCTTGATTGGAGTTGCTTGATGTAGATGAGTGCCGTGATTTGGTGGCGTTGACATATTTCCATTGTACTGCATGGAGGGGAACGCTGAGCTCTCATCGCCAAGTGCTGGACTAGAATTGTTTGTCGCACTTGGAGACAGCAATTGATGGTGTGGGTTTAGTGAAGTATTACTGAGGGGAACGCTCGGCTGGGCGTTGTATGTATTGAGAGACCCTGAGGTCAGGGCTGATATGTCGACATGCTCCTGGAACGCAGGAAAATTGCTGGTTGAACTGTTCTCAGCAAACGTTAGGCCGGAGAACTCATCGAGGACCTGTCCGTTAAAGTTCGGGGTAGCGTAGGTGCTTGGATCGTGATAGTTTGGATCGCTCATATAGCCAGCTTCTGGACTGATGTGATCGATCGAATGCGAGGGTGAGATATTCTGGCCGTTTCCGTAGTAGGATCCTGGAGAGAAACCGTAATTTTGAGATTGGCTGTAGACGTTCGGTGGGGGATATGACATATCCGGATTTAAGGAAGAGTCGAGAGAGGATCCAACGTTTGGAGTGAAGATGGAGTCTTGCCCAGGGGTGCTGGACGAGGGATGCGATACCATGGACCCATCGTAAACCATGGATGCCGGTTCTGCAGAGTACGTAAATGTGCCTTGCGCATCTGGCATTAGGAAATTGCCGGTAGAAGGCGCGAGTTGATAACCGCTAGCCTGCACATAGTGAGGGTGGCGCGGCTGACGCCGAGGGTCCTGGTAGGGCTGTGTTTGCGTATCAACTGCTTGCATGGTTGTTCCGATTATACCGAACGGCCTTGTGGCTGAGTCGACGGTAGATCAGATCGCACCGATTGATAGATGGTTGCGACAAGCAGCGAGTGTGGAATGGTAACGTGACTGTGACCCACACTGCTTAGGGCGGCATAGTGCTGCCTGAAGGTTACTGCTGTTGTTTATGCGAAAGTCAGAAGGCCAAAGGGAGGGGCAAAAGTATCGCAGCGCGTCGACACACGCAGCAAGATTGGCGGAGAGACGAAACGAAAGAGAGATATCGCGGTGCGGCTGAAAGCGAAAGACGACAGGCCGCTGCAGCTTGAAGCTGGATAGCGATCTGCCTCGCCCAGGACGGAAGTTTGGAGCCGTTGAGGCTAGAGGCAATGCCGGCACTCTACGATGTTGACAGCTTCAGAGTGGGTCGCGAGCGAAATCGGGTGACGGCGCGCGCGAGCAACAGAAAAACAGCGTGAAGTTCTCGGTTGGTTGGTAGAAACAGCGTGGAATTCAATGTCGACGGTGGAGCCAGCCGCAGCAAAGAGCGAAAGTCGAGGCACCGGTCAAGGCTGATTTCCCCCAAGATCTCCAGAATGGTAAGGCCGGGGTAGAGGGATGCACGCCAAGCAGATGCTGTTCACGTTTTCGAAACAATGTGGGCGCAGGCTGCGCAGATGTCCAGGAGGTTGTGAGAAAGAGCAGATCGACAGAAAACAAGCGCGACGGCGCGATGGCAGCTGTGAGCTTGACTGGCGTCTCGAGGCAGATTTGCAGATGCGTGACACGTTCTTGGCAGGCTTGATACAAACGGCACAGCCTCAGTTGCTATACAGAAGCGGGAGCAGGGGGCTGAACACGGGGCGAGCGGGTGGCTATGCTTCGAGGCCATACCCTCATGGCGAACTCGATCTGCTGTTTATGATGCTTGTAGTAACTCCTGCCATCTAATCCGATCGAGGCTGTCATGTCAGAACGCGCTCAACGCTCGAAACATGTAGCCAGCCTTTGTCGCGCACCCGCGTAGGCTGGCGCTTAGCAGTTTAGCAGCCGAATGCTGATGCTATATAAAGATAGGCCAAGCCTGCAATTGCTCTTCATCTGTCATGCGTGCCAGTTAAACAGCAGCATGCTAGTAATTGGGCCCTCGTCATGGAAGTCACAGGCCGCCTTATGCAGCTGTTCTTTTCTGCCCATTTATGACCGTCGCGATGTGACGACATGGCATGGAATGCCTTGCATGATCAGCCACGTCTAGAGATGAAGCTTTTCTAGCCACGTCGCAAGCGGATAAGGTAGTGGCTGGCCCCAGTTTCATAGAGCGAAGCCGGATAGTCTCCCGGACGGTTGTGGGGCTCGCGGAAATATGGCGAAGGAGCACATCGACCTGCTGTCTTCAGCGCACACTACCTTAACTTAGTCTAGATTTGAGGATATATGCTGTCACATCGCCGCGGGCGAGTACTATGACGGAAATAGCAGGATCGCTACACCTCGGCGAGATATAAGGTGCAACGATGCGCCCATAGGTTGTGATATATAGCTTCGGGTGCTGCATACCGTGATGTACGCTGTAGCCACAAGCGACACGGTAATGGTCTGATTGTACTGGCCGTGAAACGTGTTGCTGGTGTTGGATATGCAAGGCCTCGCCTAACAAACGCACCATCAATGGGATTTCTCGAAATGCAGTCAAATGGAGCACCGAGAGTGCTATGTGATGTAGCCTATGTGGAAGACTCGAACCAAGATGTTGGTATCACGGCTTCATCAACTACTACCAGAGTATGCAAGGTACCCGTGATGAAGGGTCTTGTGCAGGTGTTGTGCCGATCCAGGGCTGGCGATCGCAAAAGTTGACGTCACTGCAGGTCTCCTACACCCGTTCAATACCATCGTGAGGTTGGGCATACTGTCGCAGGGTATATGTACCACGCCTGGTGGGTGCATACATGTCCAGCTCAGATGCTCGTGGTGGAAGCGCTGGGCCTAGGGTGGTAGCAAGGCACTCTGAAACCAAGGGGACAACGTCCCGCGAGCCTTGAGAATTTTTCCGAAGCAAGCCCACGAGCTCTGGACGCGTTGTTGAGTTGGATATAGAGCGTGTCTGATTGATGAGGCTCTCGAGGAGGCTAACCATTTCCATACCGCGATCTAGCCGTGCGTGCAACCGTAACCGGTGCGCGTCTTGGAACGGCAGTGACGCTTCGGTGGAGCGGAGACTAACAACAGCTAAGCATCCACTGTTTCTGCAGCACCGCTGTTCGCGAAAATGGAACGAGAAGTGCTTCAAAGTGCTTCTCTCCCTCTTTCTTTTCCACTTGCATCTTGCGATTTACCTCCCCATTGTCGCTTCCTACCTTCCCCGCTCCAGCGTCTTCGAACTTCTGCGCGTCACTGGTCGCATTCGCATGTGACAGCATCACCAGACTGATACAGCACCACCCAAGCAGCACAGACAAGACTGCAGACCATTGGCGAGTTGCACAATACTCTGTTGCAACCGTCTACAAAGCACAGGCTCTTGTAAAGAGACAAAAGCACCAGAAAAGCACAAAAGCCTTGTAAACATCCTAGGCCTATCGATTACGGCGTCTTCCCTAGTCGACTTTACGAATCTGCCAAAAACCAGTACACTCGTCGTATCCTTGCGTGAATACCGAAACCGCTCTCAGTCTTCCACACCATACTCCTGAATACCTTCCCCGCACTGCAGCCATGCCTGGACTCAACCAAGTCATCCCACGGCCCGATTCGAGGGAGCTCCTCCCACCGCTACTCGCTTGCCTCTCAACAGCGAGTGCTTCTAAAGAGGTTCCCCCAGGGCTTCTGCCCCTCCTTTCGCCTATTCTCCGCCAACGTGTACAGCTCTTGTCTTCGAACGAGTGGTTGTCGCTGTTGTGCTGGGACCGAGAAGTCGCCTCACGACTGCCGCAGATCGTCGAAAAGATAAACGTCGAGCCCCATCCGGCCTCTGGAGAGATTGAAGTGGAGGAACCAGATCAAATACTATACCGGCGATCAGACCCTGAGACGCTCCACTCAAAATTGGTGCTTGGCGAATATGGAATCATACCAACGTACCTCTGGTGCACCGGCGGCGAAGGTGGAAGCCGCTGGCTGTTAGCCGAGCTGAGAGGAACAGACGACGCTGAAGATGGCACGGAATGGTTCGAGAACATGCCCGCTGCCGACGAGGCTGGCTTCAGGCGAAAGTCTGTCCCAGTCAAGAGCAACGGCGTCACAGTCCAGACAGCAGTCGCTCAGGCTGAACCTGCTGCAGAGGAGGCAGTAGAAGAAGAGGACGACGGCTCATACTGGGCTGCATATGATCAGACGCCCGGACGAACACCACAGCCCAGGCGCTCTCCAGCCCCGATTGCCAGCAGCCGAACGCAAATCGGACCAACACAGTCAGAGCTCGAATACTTTGAACGCTATGCTTCTGAAGTGCAGCCAGCTCTTGACGCGCACGACCCGGATGAAGAGAACGCCGCGGCTGGCGAGTCGACTCTCAATGGCAACGCTCTCGATTATACCCGCGAGCCGCAGATGGAACCTCTCGACACGACGAATCTGGGGCCGAATGGTTACGACTCGTCCATGCCGCCAGCATATACGAATAGTCTTATGAATGGTAGTGGCGTTCACGGTAATGATAGCGCGGTACATCTTGAGTCCATCGAGCAGGACCCCAGCGCCGCTGCGAATGCAATGAACCATCCACGACCCTCGTCGTCGGCGTCGACCAATTCAATCGAGAGGCTGGAGCGAAAGGCCGAGCACTACAGTCAAGCGGAGCTTGCGATCAAACAACACATCAGCACTGACATCAAGAGCCTATTCCGGTTAGCGAGGGCATCGGGCATAGACAGGGAAGAGTTTGAGAGGATTATTCAAAGAGAATTGGAGGTATTGCCCATGCTCGAGCAAGAGATGTCTTAAATTGGATCATGTAGCAGGACCATATTGGATATGAGGATGATGATCCAGAGGTCGTTCTTGAGCATTTGTTGGCGTTTAGTACAGCCTAGCCATCGCATAGTATTTTTAGATGGTGGAAACAGCAATCGTTTCAAGTAAAGACCTTTGGTGTCCTCCCCTCACTAAACCATTGTGATGCTTTTGCTATCTCGCGAGTGCAATATGGCCAATGTCAAGCCGTAGACACCTGAACGCCTTGGTCTGGATCTCATCTTGACCTTGTATCCCACAAGTGTATGGCCTTCTTATCTCCTCCTCTGTGCATCCCCGCTCGCAAACTTGGCACCGCTCGCCTTGAGCTGTTGCAGGATATCCACGGCATTGGAGCTGTTCAGGTTCATGGTCTGGTCCATGCCCGCACTTCCCCGACCAATTTCCTCAACCACGTTATTAGGGTCCGCAGCACCAACAACAGGCACTTCAGAAGCGAGCCATTGCTGGAAGGGCTTTGCGACAAAGTAGCCATCCGAGGTGAACCACCGGGTCATAGGCGCGCGGATGTGGATCGTTTGCTTGGGATTGGAGTTGTAGGGGGCGGATGTGAAGACAACGTCGCATTCGTAGATGGGGATGTGCTTCTTCGTCGACGACGATATCCTCACCTTGATATTGTCAGAATGGTGCCCACGCAAAGATGTATGCGAATGAAGCTTGTAGACGTACCTTGCCTGTCTTGCCCTCTCCCTCATATACAACTCCCTTCTCCACGAACCATAGCCAATAACTGAAAGCTCCGTTTAACAGGAAATATGCCACTACGGCGGGCAGGGTATAGGGCTTGCTGGCTTCCCAGCCGAATTTCCAGTCGTAGTAGAAAAGGGCGCCGGCGATGGTGACGGCTGTGTAGCCGAGGACTAACCGCACATCGGTCTGCGTGTGAAGTTGCTTGAACTTGAGGCTGTTGAGGTAGTTGGGGAGCGCGTCATCGGTCGTGTTCTTGAGGTCTGAGGGTGCATGTTAGATCCAAGTCGTACAGGCGCGCCGCTGGATGGGTAGCAGCGACGGGTATGCAGCACATACCGGCAAGGGAGTGGACTGCGATTTTCTGGGTTGCAGACATGTTGAGGTTGTGATTGTGCCTTGGCTAGAGTTGTCGCGCAGTTGGTCATGTAGTTTGGTGGATGGGACACCTTTCCATAAGCGCAAAGCGCGGACCCTGGTTGCAACATGCCGCCGGAGCCTCAGCGGCGAGCTATCGTCGTCAAGCAACCAGCAACCACCGACCTCGACCCTTCCACTCCCTCGTCCGCATCAATGTCTACTACCGGCACCATGGGACAGCCTGTAGTCCAGACGATCCACCGGGACCCCGCGCTGTTGTACGTCTGGTGTTTGCCGTGGACGAGACAAGCATGGCTGATAATTCTACAGTTGGTGGATTCTACTCCCCATTACCGTCGTCATGGTACATGCCATCCAAGTCCTTTATGCACCAAAAGAAGAATCTAACTAGCCTCTAGGTCTTGACAGGCATCCTCCGCCACTACGCAATGACACTGCTCCAGTCCACGCCCAAGAAACACGACCTGGCCAAGATCCGACAGCAGCGCTCCCTCGTACGCGGCGTCAACCTACGCACCAACGCCCAGGTTCTCTCGCCGCCCTCCTTCGCTGCTCGCAAAGCCTACATGGTGCAGGCGTACCACGAGGGAAAGTTCCTGGCGGAGCCTGAGCTGAGAGGGAAACCGAGACCAAACCCCATGAGTGACCCGGCGGCTATGGAGGGTATGATGGGCATGATGAAGGGGCAGATGACTATGATGATTCCACAGACGCTGATTATGGGGTGGATCAATGCCTTCTTCTCGGGATTCGTTATCAGTAAGTCTATTTTCTTCGCGCTTGTCCTGGTGGGCGAAGCGAGCGGCTGATGTCTTGTCTACACCGGAACCATCCTCGCGACTCGTCGGCATGCGTTGTCGGGATACTCTGAGATTCGGCTGCTCCCGAGCCGTAAAAGCAAAACTTAGCAGTGGCTAATTTATGTGTGCAGTGAAACTGCCCTTCCCATTGACGCCACAGTTCAAGTCAATGCTGCAATCTGGAGTGGGAACTCGTGACCTGGACGTCAGATGGGTGTCCAGCTTGTCTTGGTATTTCCTGACGTTGTTCGGACTTCAGCCCGTCTACAATTTCATCTTGGGGAGCAACAATGGTACGTTGATGACATCATTTCCTCAATCGAATACGACTGACATTGTTATTTTAAGCTGCCAACCAAGTTACCCAACAGATGGCCATGGCCAACGGAGGTGGGGGTGGCATGATGGGTCCCGAGCAGGATCCGGATAAGCTGTTTCTCAGTGAAGCCGAGAATCTGGAGGTACTGGAGCATCGATGGATATTGGAGGGCATTGAAGACCGCCTCGTCGCCAAACTTGGAGCGTGATGTCGGCACAGGGCATCAGTTGCTGGCCATAGCACCGCCATGGCGTACATACACATCTAGAAAAGGCCCAAAAAGCTATCATCCCGCGTTTCTATTGCGCAAAGACCCCAGATACAGGCCACCGGCGCGAGATAGCTAATTTCTATGACTGTCATCATGTCCCAGTCGTACGGTTCTCGTGGCAGTGGTAGCTGTGGCTTCAAGCCATCTGCGGGGACTTCAAGCCAAGCAGACAAAGGTAGCGCGTTTTCCGTGCGTCGCTATTTCTAGAACTCGAACATCTTTCCACCCCTGTGCAGAGCCGCCGGATTGTGTTCTGACAGTTGACAGCGAATATTGTGTGAAGATAGTCACGTCCATCTTACCCATGCGCCGACGCAGGGGTAGCGCAATGTCATCTGAGTGGGCTGTTCTCGACTTGAGACGGCGCACAAGCTCCGAGTCCTCCAAATTCACTGTTCCCCGCCCGCCACTCGTCAGTCTCCATCTCCAAACACACGGGACGCACCGCCCCCAAATGCGCCCCGAGAGCCCAAGACATTCGAAGCTCTTACCGACCAGCGTCCCTTGCAAGTTTAGTCTGGAGCCTTAGCCATGAGGCGACGATGGAGGGGAGGGTGCATACAGCCGTCGAAACAGCCCAGGCGTGTCTCTGCTATCTTTTCTACCATCCATGAGATGATAGCATCGTCACTAGTGCTCTGCCACTGCCTCCCAGCAATGTACCACAACTGCACTGGCAAAGCCATGCTTCACCCTATCTTGATGCCTGAATCGAGTCTCGCTGGACCAAATGCGCCCCAGCCGGCGACCCACAATGCAACGACTCCCAATGAAAGTCTATTCCTCCACACTCTGACCGACGACGGCTTCTCGTCTTGATCAGGAACTGGGCTTCTCATCAGCGTTGTTTTTGCGCGGCAGCTTTCGGAACCATCACGTCCTTGACGCAGGTGCGGTAGCACGGCAGCGACTAACGACAGATTTTTACGTGCGGCCTCCGAGTAGAGACGAAAATCCTTGACAGTGAGTACTTTGGTGCTTGGAATCTTGCGTCCGCCATTCAATCTCCTTGCTTGTTTCGGCCCCCAACGGTCGAACTGGTGGGCCAGCGATTAACATTCGTAACGCTCACATGGCCCCAGCAACTTCAAGCGAATGTACATTCCGCGGACGCAGCTCAGGCACAAATGTAGACTTGGCTGTATCGCGATACGGTAGCGATCCGCTCACCACTAGCGAGCGTGATTGCTTTTGATTAGAGGGCTGCTCCTGGGGCTGACCCCATCCGCTTTGGTGGTAGGTGCCGATTGTCCACGTCAATTCCAGTGGTGGCTGGACAAATGTGCACAGCTGTCCCCACCGGTGAACCTTAGGAACAGGGGACTACATTGCCAAGGGACAAGGTATTCTCATTGGTCGTTGACGATGAGGCTCTGCGGACTATTCACCATAAAACAGTAGACAGTATGACAATCGGGGGGATGGTCAGACGGCACTAAAGGTTACAGCATTACAACCCAGCCTTAGGTTTCCTAATCTACTGCCTTTACGCATGATACTTCTTGACATACGCTCCGCCTCTTTTGCCTTATTTTCTCACTCTAATCGCGGTACTTGAACCACTTCTATCCACCATTACTGCCATAGCAGGACACTTCCATCGCGACTTGTCGTGGGAGTTTCTCGCCAGTCAAGTAAGATGGCACAAACTGAAACTTTCTGAATCTCTCTAACCTTTGCCAGCACTTCCGTTTTCCATCCTCGTTGTCTTTCGAACGCCACGCATCGCATAGTTTCTACCGTTACTTCCGCTACCTTGTGTAACGATCCAATATCAGCAATGGACGGTCACCAATTCATAGATTTGCCGCAGATAGAAGCTATGGACGATGCTCGTTATCCAATGTGGGCGATAGAGCATATGAACTATATACAGCCATGCAAAGAGCGTATAGTGCATTTCTGTACTGAAGACGACTCCTATCTGGATGCCTACGACAATGGCGCTGTCAGCATGCAGCCTATGCAGCGGTTCATGATTGATCAGAACCCACTTACGCCAGGAATGCTTTACGCAAAGATACCATTTCTAGACAGCCGATACGAGAGACCCTACGAGCAGCATTGGCCTTCGGCAGACTGCTTTCGTCATGCGTCACCGGATCGTTCTTCTTCTGGAAATACTAGCCAAAACACCCAAGACGAGCTCCGGTCACCACACATGCGCCATAGCATCCCGTATGGAAGCCCGATGGAATACTCGCAGCTATCATTATCATACCCACAAGCCGAGTATCTTCAGGGAGGTGTATACCCATGCGAGTCTCATGTCATGGAGCGCGGCAACATCAGCCTTCGTGAGCTTGAGTATGACCCTGCAGTGTCTGAGGCAGTGGCCGAAGATGTTGAGGACGTTACTATGAAACAAGAGACCACCTGCGACCACCACCATACTGCCGTCAAGGAAGAGGCTACTCCGGATTACAGGACGTACGCAGACTCGGGTATCGGCCACTCTGTGCGGGATGCACAATCAGTGGAGCCCGTTGACTTTCCTGAAGAGCCCGCGTCTGACTCTGACTACAGGCCGTCTTCCAGCCGCAAACGTAGACGGTCTACCACATCGAACAGTAGCTCAAGTAGAACACTGAAGCGGCGGAAACCCATCCGCAAAGACTCTGTTGTCCCAAGCCCTGCAGAATCCGTCAAGTTGGAGGGGAAACCTCGTCGAGCCTCTAAGACTTCGAAGGCTAGCACTGAATCAAGCATTCAGGCTGAGGACCGCCGCGCATTCCCTTGTCCGCTCGCTGCGTATGGCTGTACGTCTAATTTCTCCTCAAAGAACGAGTGGAAGAGGCACGTCAGCACCCAACACATCAAGCTCGGCTACTGGCGTTGCGATTTATGCCCACCATCGACTGATTCCAACGACGCGCACACCTTATACTACAACGACTTCAACCGTAAAGATCTTTTCACACAACATCTCCGCCGTATGCACGCTGCTCCGAAAGACAAATCCAGCCGTACTCAGAAAGACTACCCTGTCTCCGAAGAGAATCTTCCCAAACACCAGGCTCGCTGTAACTTGCAATTACGAGATCCACCACAGCACTCGACTTGCCTATTCTGCGAGCGAATATTCGTTGGTGCTACATCTTGGGATGAGCGCATGGAGCACGTTGGGCGTCATCTTGAGAAGGACGGAAGCCGCTTAGAAATGCTCGACCCGGCTACATGGAATGCGGACGAGAAACTAGAGCGATATCTCATCGATGAAGGTCTCATCGTGAGAGATGGCGCAGCATGGAAGATTGGTGATGGAAAGCCACGCAAAAGCGTACTATCAGATAGCGACGCAGACTCCGAAGAGGACTAAGCAATTGTGAACTGTGTATAAAGAGTTTGGGATACATAAACGGAGAGGACTATATTTCGGACTTCAAGATTCATGACGTTTACGACTGTCACTATAGTTTTATACCCGTTTAGGCGTTTAGGAATATTTTATGCAGATAGCGACGTCTTACGGCCGATCACATTTTCGTAGTAGGACATCAAAAGCGCGGTCGTTATACATATGTTAAAATGCATGCCTTCTCACTACACCAACGTCTTGTCATCGCGATATCATATAGCAGCCTTCCAGCGCATCTCCGTCCACTTCCCATCTCACGCCCCAAAGCCCACTGCAACGTCCAAATAGCCCCCATTCACGACTTCTCTCCCCTCTCCTTTCCACACGGCCACAGCCTCACACTAGCTAAGCATATTTAGACTGCATGGTACACCCAAACCAACGGTCCCGGCCCCCTCTTCCCGAAAGCAAATCTACAACATAGCCATAGGCAGAAACGACGTTGCTAACGTTTACTTGATCGGGAATGAAGCGCAAAGTGCTTCGGTGAACATGGCGTGTTCACCGGACTGTGCATATGACATGCAGTGAGAACCTTGTTTTCTCACGTGGGGGTGGATGACGGGTGGGTTGGACCAGAGAGCGGGAAGATGAAAAGATGAGCAGGGAACGATCGGTAAGCCTAGGCAGTGAAGGAGGCTTCGGGATTGTACAGCAGAATTTCAGTTTTACATCGTAAGTAATGATGAACGTCATCGGTCTCAATGCCTGTTTCGGTCATCGTTTGGGAACGTGGTGGTGGGCTAATGCGAGCGTGGTTCGAGACGCTGCACTTTGCATTAGTGTTACGTCCATCCGTTTGGCAAGAGGACATCTCAAGACCATCGAGTCGTAACCTCCAAAGAAAGAAACAAGGCAAAAGCAGGCAGAGAGTTCGACGTGTCAAGCTTAACTTCTGCCTTTTCTTCAATCTGCTGCCTGAGGCAGCACAAAGTGAGGCTGAGACATGTACGTTCTCTAGACCTACATGCAGATACGAGGTTTGTCGAGGTCCTTCATGCTGCGCCCCCGCTTCTCTTCTCGAAGCACTACGCTCGCTTACCGAGAACCGGCTATCGGGCTCATCTGACATCCTATGATGAATGCGTCTAAAGATGAAGGACCAGAGATGCAGACATGTCTTTGTAGATCCAAGATTTACGTCGCGCTCGGTTGTGGAATGGTCCGGTATCCGGTGTGGATAGGGCAACTATCTGCCTTTCAACTACGTGTTTCTGCGCGCGTTTCATTCACTAATCCGATTACTCTGACCCAGAGCTCTTGGTGCGCTATCACACTAATGCTTTGTCTCAATGATAAGTGCGTTCGATTGTCTCGCCTTTAGGACGGAAGGATGCTCTTAGATAGCGCCCATGGGCCGATTTCGATGCATATTCGCTGGGATGATCCACGTACGAGAATCCCAGATCCAAGACTTGGGCTCGGGGTGCGCGATGGTGAATCCTCCGAAGGTGATCCTGTGAAAGTTGGGGACATCAGAATCAGCTAAGATTTGGGGCGAAGAGACGGGGCGACTGAGGCTCTGTGGAGACGAGTCAAGCGTATCAGGACTAGTGTCCCTGGAATGATGTCACGAGAG